TTGTATGTGTGTGTAATAACGATGACCACGCTATTTGCTTGTTGCTTGCTGTCCATGTAAGTGTGTGCGTGTGTTGGGAATGGACGGAGAGTCTGCTGTGGTTGCTGAGTTTCAAAGGGAGTGTGTGCGCTGCTGCGTGGAGTTGTTATCTTGATGGTAAAGTTAATTATTAACGTGGGAGCGTCGGGTATCCTGTGCTGTACCATCTCGTGGGTCACCGTGCGCGATGGGCTTAATTGAAAAAAAAAATGTTTTTTTTTTGGGCTGTATTATGCTGCGAGGTGCTGTGTGCGATGCGGTCGTTGCATGAGAGGGAATAACTGTGTTGTGGTTGAAAAGTTACGACGGGATTGATGGTGTGTTGGTCGCCTGCAGATTTGCTTGCTATTGTGCTTCAATGTACGCGTGTGATCGCGATATGCTGATTGCATGTGCTGTTATACCGTTCTGTATATGTGTTGCGGTTCCGGGTGGGGGGTTTTTTTTTTTTTTTTTAGGGAACCATCGGTTGATGTTACGCTTGTTCTTGTTATTGTTACTGTTACGAGGCACACGTGTATTGACGGTGTTAATCTTTATTCTTGGGGGTTGAGGGATTGTTGCAGCCGGGACGGCTGCGAGCTGTACAGGGGGGGGGTGATGTAGGGGTTATTACGGGAGAAACGGCGGACAACAAACACAGGGCTGTCGGCACTCACATACACGGGGGGTCACACCGACGTCCGCATCAGTTATTGCCCACGCCCCCAGCCCTCGGAGGCGATCCCTATAAAAGGTGGAACCCAAAGAGCTCGAGGCAGTTCGACACGAAGCTGACCAGTGAAGATCCAAGACTCGGAGATTAGGCCCTGGGACTCCCCGGTCTCGCCGTCCTTATAAGGGCCGAGCCGGGTAAGCCAGTGGCGCGGCCCAAGAGCTTCCAGACCGCTGCCCTTATCAGGGCAAGGCTGGTTAGCTGGTGCCGAGATCTGTGCTTGCCAGGGCCAGATCAGTCAGCCTCCCGTAGCCCAGTAGAGGAGGACTGGGGGACAGGACAGAGGGCTTAGTACTAGGGTGGGTTTCCCATAGTACGGGTGAAGGGGCCGATACCCCTTCAACTATTGTATCTGTCCCGGAGTTAATAAACAGTGTGTCTCAACTTCCTCATCGTCTCCTCATCAACTTACTACACCTGTAACATCTGGCAGTTCCACCAGGACTGATTAAAGGAAGCCTGACTGCTGATGAGGAGGAGACGTTGTTCGCATATCTGTTTAGTCATTTGCAATATGCAGTAACCATGGGACGATTTGAAGTCCCTATAGTTGCATCCGATGAACCAAGCGACCTGGAGATGTGCAAGGTCAAGGGAGAGCAAGGCAGCTCAGCAGGGAGAGAACAGAGCCTGGAAAACCGGTTGGTTGGGTGGCCATCACACAGGGCCAATGCCACCAAAGGAATTGCTAAAATTGTACGCCCGATGTACCGACCCATACTGACCACCATGGTGAACTATGGTCAAACGAATTCTCAACAAACTCGCACAGCGCGGGGAGGCTCTCATCCGGCAGTGGATGGCAAGGGACACCGCCGCTGTGCACGTACAATGTAGTCGGTGGTGAATATTTGAATCGCAACGCTTTTGGTTATGTCAACAGCACCATCGGTCGAGCCATTGGCGTTATATGGCCGATGACGTCAAATTCGCAGAGTTTAAAAGGTTTTGCAGCCGGAACTGGACTGTGAACGCTGTACAAGCGGCAGAAATGAGATGCAGTTTCAAGCAACATTGTAAATAGACGTTGTGTGTTTACTACAGGTCTGAGTGCCCCCCACCACCTTCCTCGCCAGTTCGCTCCGTAAGATAAGGAGCCGTTCATTTAGCGACATGCAACAGGCGAATGGCTTGTGTTGCGATGGAAACGTCGTGATTTCGATTTTTTGCTATTTTTTGTTCTATCTACGTGGCTTTACCGAAAGACCCAAATAATATGAATTCCTGCAGTCACGAAAGCTTTAAGTCAAGAATACGAATATTCAACAGCCTGTTGAGAAGGACGTAGTAACGGTAGTGGACACGCCGAGGCCCCAACACCTCAACGAGTCACCCCCCCCCCCCCAGCAAAGCGCTATTGACATCGCGCGATTTGATCATCGCCTGCAACGGCTTTGTCCACCACCTGATCGAGTGGTTGCGCCACATCGTAGCACGTAGGCTTCGGTAAGGTAAGGTCAAAACAACGAGCCTACCTTTACCCTACCTTTTACCTTACAATACAATCACTCTACCCTACCCTTTACCCTTTAGCAGGTAAGGTAAAAGGTAAAAACGAGCCTACCTTTACCCTACCACAATACAATTACTCTACCTTACCTTTTATAACGGTAAATGCTAGGTAGAGCGCTTTATACATATAGAATACTCTCGATTATTCAAATTTTACACGCTTTCTTTGAAGTCACTGTCTGTTGTTGTTGTCGTTGTTGTTGTATCCTCAAATCTTGTAACTCAATTTTAACCCACTTCCCAATGTGGTATCGACTGCAAACTTGGTATACTTATCTCCTACTGATGACAACACTATATTCTATCATAAAAAATGTTTTAAAACATTATTTTTTATATGTTATGTTTCGGCTTGGGTCTAATTGTCCACGGTCAACTGACGTTGGCTGTAATTGGCCACGGCCCCTGACGTTATGGCAAGCATTGGGGCCACTTCCTGGAATCGTGGAGTTCTGCTATTACTAGTACGTTTCATAAAAGCGTGTTAAAAAAAAAGTTTTTTCATATTACAGTACTTATTAAATGGAGGTCACGGACTGCGCCACTGAGCTTTTAGCGGTAAAGGTACCGTATTTACCGGGTAATACTTGGCGCTACCTTTACCCTACCCTTTACCTTACCCCTTGGCATTTACACCCGGTAAAAAGGGTAAATTACCTTACCGAGGCGTAGTGGCACGAGCGAGTTTGGGCTTGCGCTTACACAGCATAGCCGTCACCGGCCAAATATTCTGGACAATTATAATTATCCACCCCCACCGCCGCCGCCGCCTCCGCCTCCAACCGCATCAAGAACGCAGCGAGCCGGAGCTTTTGCAAAAATGCGTCGCTCACGAATGGTCGCGGCTCGAGTGGAGTCCGTCCCTTCCACAAGCAACCGGTTGCAACGGTGTATAAAACGACTCGGTTGCACGCAACCAATCGCCGGGGGGTGTGGAGCCGCTTCAACAGAAGATCATTACAAGGCAGTGCGGTCCATAATGTAGTTTTTTTTTGGGTTAGATCGCGTAGACTGTGGGGAGGGGGGGGGGCGTATCTGTTAATGGATCGCAGTGCATTTTGCGACGGCGATCGATCTGTAAATGGATCGCAGTGCATTTTGCAACGGTGATCGAAGCTGCATCACCTCCATCAAGACACTTAAAAACTCACCTCTACAATCATGCTTTTGAGCGACTCTGAGCTTGGCTCCGCGCCTCTGAGTTGCGGCCACTACGTCTGCAAATTTGCGCGTGTTACAAATTGAACTATTATTATATTATAATATCAAAGCGCTTGTTCAGAGGTCTTGCGGTCGGTCGTTGGATCGGTGGCCATCCAACGAGGCGCTGTGTGGGGGAGCCCCGTGGCATTGGTTGCGCGCGGTTCGAATGCAGGCGTCTTCAAAAGATTCCGTGGAAAATCTCCGAGGCGAGAGGCAACGCGCAATGACGCGCGCCGTACCACGATGCAATAAAACGGATTTGAATGAACGCGGTAACAAAAGAGCAATTGACGATGCGGTGATTAAAAAAGAAACGCACACATTTTGAAACACAGCATTCAGGCTACGAGTTTTGTTGTTTTTGTTGTTGATTTTTTGTTGTTTTTATGCGAACGTTGACAACTTTACAGCATTTAAAAAAATAAACGTAATACCAACGTCCCAAAAGATCCCATCTGGAATAGTGTGTTGTGTACATATACAGCATCATCATATATACGAACAACACTCGAGTTATATATATATATATTTACTGGCGACTACATGAACACAAGAGGACGACCCAAATTCTTTTGAGAACGATAAAAGAAAGTCTTTACAACGTTCATTAGTCCGTCACATTCATCACCGACACACCACTCCGTTGAACACACGGTATAAAGTTAAGCTTCAAAATAAGCTGAACGTTAGCCGATGCGACTTTGCAATTCTCAAATCATTCCAACCTCCTCCGGCGTATATCAAAATAAAGCATTTCACTGGATTCCATTGTCGTGTAGTATCCATTTCAAGAACGTGTGACATCTTCAGTCAATCAGACCGTGTGCTTATTTGTCCGAACTCCGTTGTATGTATACACACGCACGTACGTCTGAAGACGTCCTCCATACGCAGCGTATGCAATCGCGTATGCGCCCGACTAATGCCACCCCCCCCCCCACCGGACGAATTTGTACACGAGCTGGGATCGAGGCCTTAGGGGCAGCAATTGTCCATCAATGATACGCTAGAGGAAAAACATGAAACACCTTAGATCAATGTACGGGCGTTGTATAAATGTTTCTCCTCCAATTATGTTTGTGATTGTGCTTCTGGAGCCACGCCACGAAATGACAGAGGAACTGCATTGCTAATTTAAACACCCTTTGAAAATAACATCACCGACCCTACCTCTGAAGTCACTCCTCGTTAGTCACACGGAGGGCACATCCCTCTAAATGCGCTGCCAAGATTATTCACCACGCCAACCGTTGGGGTGATGCTTTGATGAAATGCGCCTTACAAATGTCAATTAACATTAAAACAAAAATTTTTTAATTCATCAGAATCAACTCAAAACAAATTCGGAGTTACGTTGTTTTGGTGCTGCCATTCGAAGACCAGGCTGAGGCCATCAACTCGCCAATCTTGACGGCGGCTTCATCACGAGCGATCGAAACCTGGAATCAAGTGCAGGAAATTCTCGGCAGTTGGCGGATAAACATCTCCGACCCTTAAACCAAACGGGTAACGACACAGGCATTTACTAAAATCACAGCCAGAGCTGAGTTTTTTTTCCAACTTAAAAAGTCTTTATTTCGAGAAGATTCACCGTCACTTTTTGCAAGGAAAACCTCAGTATCCATAGGTACCGCGGGCATATTGTATAACATTAATTTTGGACCGTGAAAAAAAAATGGCACAACGGTTTGCTCTTGTGAGTGACATCGTCACAGACTCTTTTGCTGTCCCTTTTAAGGGGCGAGGGGCATCTGGGAATAGCAACACCCTGACTCGGGTGAAGAGTGTGGCTCTTACTCCCCCACCCCTCTTGGCAACAGCCGTGTTAAAATTCGACTGGTAAACACAGCAATATCACAGACGTTTCGCTGCAACATGTATGCACGTTGAACTTCTTTCACACCGTACATAGCCAACCGTGCTAATTGGGAGAAAAATTTGCAGCAGTCCCGTCAATTGCAGATGTATCGAAACATTAAAAACCTCTCCGGTATTTCTCCCATATTGGTATATAATAATCTGTTAGCCAATGCATAAGAAGTGTTTGTTTCAAAAGTACTTTAATCTTACGCTACTCTTTTACGATAAGGCTACGTCACCAACGGCTCGAATCTCGCAGTGGATGTGATGACATGCACGCCGACGACAGACACAGCACCCAAAGGCCAAAGTGTAAAGTGAAGAAAAAAGGCAAACGATATGCCTGAAACCGAGCACCATATTTGTACGTCTTGTATATTTGAAAAAACCAAGGACCTTTATAAACTGGAGCCTTGCACCGCCACTACAGCAGGTAAGGTAGGGGTACTGATGCCTGCATTGGTAGAGACACATTGGGTCTGCAAGTAGGTACTTTTCATGATAGTTAATGGTCCAAAAAACAAAGGAATTGGGCAGACAACGTTCAAAGATAAACACGTGCCATTTTGAGAGCCGTGGCTCGCGCATGCCAGGCTGTTAAAACATTGTAGTAGTTGAGCTTTATTGAGCTTTCACCCCGTGTACCTAACAGACGGCACACCAACAGCCAACAAATCACATCACCCGATTGCACCGGCGCCCCGAGATGACCGACCACGCGGTGCCACAAAAAGGCAAACCGCAATTATTATGAACGTAAAAAGGCAATAAAAAAAAAAAGAGTCAGTTGTGAAAAATTGCTCGACGAAGCGACATCGTCTTCGCACCCGCCACGGGGCGGCGGAAAATTGAGAGTGGGATGACGCGGGTTTTCTCTGCCGTGATAAAACTGGCCGTTGTCCTCGGCATGACTTGACGGCGAGGAAAATTTGCCGCGGCGGGCGTGAACCGGTATGGACAGTCAACGCGGCTGCTCTGGAGTCAGAATGGTGACGCGCTCACAGTACAACAGGAGGGGGGGGGGGTGAACAATGGTCTCACAAACACGGTTTCAGTCAACGGCAACGGTCAGACTTCCGCCGAGTTCATTTTGTTGGCGCGTGTATATATTTGTTTTATTAGTATAATTACTATTTAATTGTAGGTATAATACAGAAAAGCTCTTTAATGTAGTCATTCAAAGATATGAGAGTATAAATTGTAAGACGTTCACAAATTACGCTGTTTGTAGAAACGACTGGTGGCTTTTTTTTAGGTAGGTCGTCAAACTGTGGCTCATGGCTGTGACGAGAATAAAAAAAGAAAAACACCAATCCCTTAAAAGCATCTAAAAATTTACGCCAAACATTTATATTTGTTAAATTACTGGCCAAGTGTGCCGCGGCTTCAAGACAAAAACAAAAGAGCTAAAAATGCCTCCAGAACACCTTCGGTGGCTGGTGACGGAGCCCTGCGGCAGCTGTAAATGCACCTTGAGCAGATATCCAAAAACACCCCCCCCCCTCCACCACCACCCAGGCCCGCCCCTACCCGCTGCCCCCATTTCAAGTCCAAACTTCAGTAACGTCTCCGGTTAAACAAAAAAATAGAATTTCTATCGTTTAAAAAAAGACGTCGATCGACAGCCATAGATACAAATATATTCTCTTATTTCTTCTTCTTAAACAACGGCCTTAAGAATGCCGAACCCACGCGCAGCTAAAGAGTGTTAAACCTACGTTCACTTTGGGCGAAATATTCCAATGCGCGCCGCTCATTTTCAAAGGTTTCTCCAGCAGACAGAACCCCAGCACACGGGGCCAGACCGGCGCCTACAATTCTCATCCTCGTCAAGCAACGTGAATTACCTCCAAAAACAAAAAGTGCTTCCTCCGATTGTAAATGCAAGGGTACACGCGCACACACACTCGCGCACACACACGCACACACGCTCACAAGCACTCACACACACACGCACACAGAGCAGCATTAATTTTACACCAGCGGTGCCCAATGTGATTCTACGACGCCTACACAGTTCGTCAACAAAAATTAATTAGAGAGCGTTGTTCTCCACGCTCGTCCAAGCAGCGATCGCGTCTGCAGGGGTCTCTCCGCGAGGGGATTCTCCGCGGAAGTTTCTCCGCGGAAGTTTCTCCGCGGAAGTTTCTCCGCGGAAGTTTCTCCGCGGAAGTTTCTCCGCCAGAATTTCTCCGCCGGGATTCTCTGTGGAGTTTCTCCACGGGATTTTTCCGCGGGGGGTTTCTCCGCGGGGTGTCCCCACGGCGTTACAGCAGCGAGTCATCAGAACAGCCCCCGCCCAGTGTGTAGCGGAACTCCTGCAGGTTGGACACGCCGTGGAAGTGCACGAAGGCCGCCGCCACCACCAGGACGTGGAATATTTGGTGCGAGTGAAACTGTGGGGGGCGGAATGGAATTAAAGAGGGAAAGTGGCGCACACGTTTAATAAATAACAGCAATCGTCGTCATCATCGTCATCACTGTTATCAATGTTATCTGATAATGATTATCATCTTAAACACAATTGTTTTTTATCAATGTTTGAAGCAATGACTTGTGATAATCTTCAGCACAACTGTTATTGATGACTAGTAATGCCTTGGCTGTTACGGAGTGCTTTTGACTCACAGTTGTATGTATGCTGAACTTCTTTCGCACCGTACATAGCCAACCATGCTAATCAGAGGTGCGGGTAGAATGGCACGGACAAAGCGATACTAGCGACAAGATCTTTGCAGCATTCATAGCTTTCAGTATGTTCAATAAAAATCAGCGTTGTGCATGTACACGTACAGCCCTTTGTCAATCCGCTACTGGAACACTGCCTCCCCACCACCGTGTCAATCTTGGGGCTTAGTTCACCATACTTCGCCACGCTGTTCAGCGAGAGCTGGTGAAGGAAGGGAAGGGGGGGGGGGTGGGGCACAGCCCGCAGTACGACGATTCGATTTCGCCGCACTGCCCGCTGCTGGCAGCATCACGGACTCCCAGCCGCGCACGCCATCACGACCGTCAAAGAGGTCGCTACCGAAGGGTCGGCGATGATAGCGGGCGGTGATAGTGCATCGTGCGCATGTGTGCGTGCGTGTGTGTGCGTACGGACCCATATGTCACACTTTCCCGGGAAGAACCGCTCGGGTATGCGCGCGGCGTAGAGTGCCGCGCCCGTGATGTACAGCACCGCCATGAGGAAGAGCCAGCCGATCTGGCCCACCGTGGCCGCCTTGATGAAGCCCTCGGCGATCATAAAGTGTATCGTCGGCACGATGCCGCTCAAGCCGAGGCCCAGGAACACACCTGGCGGGAGGAAGAGGAGGAAGACGAGGAAAACGGGTCAAGTTTGGGAGCGCGCACGCCGCTCACGTCTGGATGTGAGCGTGTAGCTGCAGCGGAAGATCCCAGCCCCGCTCTCTCGTGGCACAACATTCCCAGCGGACGTCCCCTTCCCATTCCTAACTCAGGACAGGAGCCGTCAAATCTTGCCAGTTGTCCACTATAAAACAGAGCCAGGCCAAGACGCGTCAGGTTGTGTTTCCACTGCCAAATCTGAGCCGAGATATCACACAACTGTAGTGAGCCCAAAGATGAGGGAGAGCCGGTACTTGAGGCAACACTTTTATTTAACTAATAACTCTATACAAGGTCCCTAACACAAAGGGGTATGGCCTCCGGGCTATCGTGCCTCCAAACACTGGGGCCCACTCTACACTCAGCCCTCCGGCTAGGGGCCCTAGAGGGGAGGCTATCCTGACCAGACCCAGCCAAGGTCCTCGGGTCCCGGCTACTGGCTCACTCAGTCCCGGCCTTTACAAGGACAGCGGGTCTGGGGGTCCCAGGGTTCTACTCTGTCTTCGGCTTGAGGACGAGTGCCGAACCCGTTCAAGGCTCCGGCTTTTATACACCCTCCAGGGTCTCTCTGCCCCTGGCCACGCCTCCCTTCCAGAATGTTCTCGGGGATCCTGGAATATTCCCCCAGCCCCCCTCCTGGGGTCTGGGGAACCCTAGCGGCCCACATACCACCCCATGCTGACGTATGTCTGCTACTGCAGGTAAAAAATTTCGATTTAAAGCTTTCGTGACTGCAGGGATTCATTTTCTTGGTTCTTTCGGTAAAGTCACGTAGAATGGAAATAATAAAATAATACAAATAAAACATCATAAAATAATTCTCACGACGTTATGGTCACAACGCAAGCAGCCATCCTCAGGTGAAGAACAGGTCTGTCGAGGAGACAGTCTGTCGAGTAGACAGACCTGCTCTCCACCTGAGGACGGCTGCTTGCGTTGTGGCCGAAACGTCGGGAGAATTATTTTATTATGTAAAATTTTTATTATTTTATTATTTCCATTCTACGTGACTTTACCGAAAGAACCAAGAAGATACTGCAGGTAAGTTACCACTGTTCATGGCGCTACACAACCATCGAGTTGAGACGTTTGTAGACTACGCGGTGCTGCTGTGCTTGAGTTGTACTGACTGACGTCACGAGCAATGAACGAGTCAGTAGTATCGCCCCTGGCCCTGCTTGACCCCTGACCCAGATTCAGATGTCTTCTGGTTAAGGCAATGTAACACGGTTGGGTTCTGGCTCAGCTCTGCAAATATCCCAGTGGAAAACCACCCCTCTAATGTGAGGGTGACGTGCCGGTTTGGCTCAAATGTACCAGTGGACAAGGGGCATCTGATGCAGCCAGGTCAGGGGTTGTCCCTTTAAAACGTCGACCACCTACCCGGTACTCGAGCAGAATGCGCGAGTGGCGGACTGTTGTGACCGTTGTTTGCTTAGCAGAGTAGCTTCAGTAAATATCCCATGTGTCTTGAAATTCAGCATCGACGTTTTAGCTCGCTGCACTGTTTGCAGTGATTATTCAGAACTGATGCTACTCTCTGTTGAGTTATCGATATACATCGAGGAAGTGAAATTGGAATGTTGCACAACCAGCTGCAGTAGAGCACGGCAGAACAATAGGGTGCACTAGAGAAACGCGTTTCCCGCACCTCCGACTAAGCACGGTTGGCTACATACAGTGCGAAATAAGTTCAACACGCATACATACGTTTCAGGATATCTTTGAATCGCAGCTCATCTTGATAATGATGTGCATTTCATTTCATGGTATGTGCACGCTTTCAATGTGAAATATCTGAAGTGTACACTTTTTAGAGGCCTTACAAAGTACCGCAAATTTTACACCCACACGCACGCAATCCTGTGTGCCAAAGGCTTTGGTTGTGCTGCTTGCAGCGCCCACGTGGATTGTTTCTAAAGCGTGCACCTGTTTTGGCATTATTCGTGTAAATAATGTATTTTTTTTTGCTCTAGTTAGTTTCCACATTCCCAACCCGCACCTGCTGTCACTTCTGAAGGTGTTGGGCTTGCAGTCAACCTTTCAATAGAGCTGCTTAACTCAACTTATCAGTTAAAATAAAGTCTGTTTTGCAGGATGTAGAAAATGTATTCGCAGGCTGGGCTGTTAAATGAATTATGCAACCAATAAGACAAACAGCGGCTCTTATCTTGTAGGTACACACCTATGCTATAGGCGTAGGTGAATTGGCCAGGTACTTGAAGCTACTTTGATGAGAAAAAAAGATCAGAAAAAATTCTTCACATGGGTGGCGGCCAGGCATTAAACGCTCTAATGATGTCACCGCATTAATGTATAAATACGCGTGGGGATGACATCGTAATGAATTACATCATAGTCCTACGTAGAGTGCATAGGATGATGCATCAAACACAACAAGAGGACAGTGTGTGGCCAAACAATGCCACGTTCAAGCCCGACTGCCCACACTTGCTACACCAGTGTTGTGCTCAACTCCAGTGTTGCGCTCAACTCCAGTCATCGTTCGTGACTGCCCACAGGGCAGCTCTCCGCGATTGCCAGCCATCAGGTGCATCGAGTCCGTGTGCGGCGAGTTAATTTGCAGATGGACATAAAAGTCTGGTAATCGCAAAATGACAGACTGTGGGGAATCGCGAGGACTGGAGTTCAGCAATTTGTGCCAATTACGACACTGAACTAGCTAAATATTCACATTCATCAACAATGCTGCCTTAAGAGGAAATGTATAGAACGGGCGACCTTGGGAGGAATTGGCGTTTTTTCATGGCACGCAAGAGCACAAAATAAGGGCCATTGCCCGAAACGTCGCCCGTTATACATTTGTCCCCTTTTAAGGCCACGGTGTTATTGACGAACTTGTTGGTGGAGTTTATTTGCAACGTGTCCTTGTACCATTGCCAACGCTGCATCGCGAAACCATTCGTTTCAGTTTATCACGCTGTAGGGCTTTCGCGACCGATATTATCCACAAGAGGTTTTACGTGGGTTAGATCGCGTAAATACATGTCGTTAAACCCACAGCGACCCGACACAGCCAAAACATCGTACTCGAATTGTAAAATGTTGTGGGTTTACCCTCCAACACAGCTGTGTGCTGAACTAATAACGAATTTACATGTTCTGTTTACGTGACAAACCTTACTAATTGGCTGTGTCGGGTGGTGCCGGGTTTAATTACCCATTTATATTTACTCAATCTTAACAAAAAACCCCCCCCTCTATTATGCACAATTCGTTTCATTTCACGCGGTCAGGTTGGCAATCCCCCCCCACCCCGGTGGTGGTGACACCCAGGGATTGCAGCTAGGTGGCGCTAGACCACTTTCCAATGCCGCTATTGGTGGCGTGGCTGGCGCAAGTGTGACGAGGGGCGGCAAATGGGACTGCACCGCAAGACAATATCGCCTGCCACGTGGCACCGCGATTGATGCCAAAAACCAACGGATGGGCTCGGCTAAAACTGAACATTTTATCCTAATTATAGACCAATTTTGTGCTATCGGGGTCGTGTCGTGCATTGGAGAAATAATAGAAAACAAATGTACAGCCCATTGTCAATACACTGCTGGATGAAGGCCTCCCCCTATGCCAAGTCAGCCATGGCGGTTATATGACCATACTTCACCAACGCCGAACATGGTCCTTTTTAACGCTGTTTTCTTTTCCACCCTTTCTAAGTTTCGGGCAACCCTTTGTATGCATGTACGTAGAAATTCTTTCACACCGTAGGTAGTCAACTAAGCTAACACGTTTGATGTCTTTGCCCAAATTTCTAGAGCGAGTTCCCAGTAGGAACACAAATTTCCACTTAAGTTTGTTCCTTTTGGATCATCTTTGCGACAGTTATCCTGCCCCCTCACCGGCCGTCACAGATGGACAAAGCTAACAAAGCACGAAAGCTCTCAACAGCAGTTGAGGAGCACCAACAAACTAACGGAGGGACGAGCACAAGATGGGGTTCAGTTCAGTAGTTCAGCACTTTTTTGGAATTTGGCAGTCCAGGGGTTCAGGAGTTTGGCAGTTCAGCGGTTCACGGGTTCGGGAGTTCGTAGGATCGGTGCGGAGGAAAACCGAGCCACGTACCGGCACGCACGGCCCGGTACTCGGGCGTGGCGAAGCGATCCCACTGCGACACGACGATGGCCGCGACACCCAGCACGCTCGTCGTCACCATGTAGATGATGCGCGGCTGGGGCGAGCAGTAGAACGAGTAGTAGAGCCACGGCACGAAGCTGCCCATGATGAGCAGCGCGATGCCCGAGTAGTCGAGCCTGCGCCACGCGGAGAGAGCAGAGAGAGCGGAGGGGGGAGTGTGTGAGCACTGCTAAGCTTCACGAACGGCGGGCGAATTCGCGCTCAGCTGCTGTGGTGAGTGCAACGGTCAAGCAAAAGCATACGACGCTGTTAATAATGATATTGATAATAATATCAAATCGCTGCGAGCGTTCGTGCGTCCGATTTGAAACCGCCGACGCTTACGTTGAAATGTGTTCGAACGTCGATTCAACGTTACTAGTCGGCCATGAACGTTGTTGCATTGACAGCAGGTGACATGTCAAAACTGTGAATGTAAAGCCGAAATTGAAGTGTGTCCAGGAAAAACACAACAACCCATGCATGCGCTTATAGAATAACTAATGCAGTTCACTTTTGATAGATTGTATTGTATGATCTCTGGAGAGATGGCCGCACGATAAACTGCATTAAAAAAGAAACGTCGATTTAATCTGCCTCCTCTCAACAAAAGACCGCAATCTTCTGTACAGTGGAAATTTATGGGTTATGAGTTTTCCTAGAGGACACTCATCAAATGATAGAACGTCAAATTGTAAACTGTTAATACTCCCAAAAATGTGAAAACTGTGCGCGTCATATTTCAAACTTTTGTAATATCGACTCAAAATGGTTGTTCACGTCGTTGCCAAACTACACATCAGCTTGAATTTCCACAGCGGTTTCAAGCCACGAGCTCCATGAAACATCATCTCAAACTTAGAACGTTACGCTTCACATCTTCGCTGAAGGAGGACCGCTGCCCCAACAGTAGGCGTGCATACAATGCCACCATGGATCGATTTATGATGCAGAAACTTGATTTACGACATCTTCCGACGTGACATTTGAACAGAGCTGGTCTGGTTTCTGACGTGACTTGGCGTGGAGATTTTGATATTCTGAAGCGTTTGTGTGAATGCTCACCCATTAAACCATGTGAAATATGGCTGATAAAAGGAAAAAAAACACATCGGGCAAGTTATGTTTCTACCGTTTCTACCGTCGATGGAGAAATAGGGTCCAATTTAAGATGATCAGACTTATGACGGGGTTTCCAGGAACGCATTGTGTCTAAAAGTGGGATTGTCTGTATGTTTGTGTCATAAGGCATGCTTGTTTAAAAATAAATACATTTACATTTGTACACCACTTTCCAACAGTCCCTTAACTTTTCATACGCTGGCTTTGTCTTTTATAAAGGCTGTCTTTGTTCCAAGGTCGCATTTGTTCATATGACCATCGTCATCATCATTATCGTCATCGTGTTTTATAATCTACTTTTTTTTTTAGAAGGCCCATAATAGGCTGACGGACCACAATGCTACTTGAATTCAGTGTTACGTATTATACATTACCCTTTGCTTCTTTATTATTTCATCACACACAAACCACCATGACAGCGTAAAATGTGTTGTTCGACAGTCACTTGAATGACCTGGAACATACCAGCGCACATGTCCAGTGGCTATATTGCTAATGGAATGAGCGACGCTCGGAGGTTAGTGTGTTTTGTGAACAACACACTCCTAATGTTGAAAGTGTTTACATTCTTGAGGAGCGTGTCTAAGGCTTCCAACAGGTATCCTCATGGTGGGCAAAATTGGAAGCACTATCCTTACATAAGATATGTAGCCATGTAATAGAAGAGCACTGTCCAGAAAATAAGGTTCGGATGCGTGCTGCCATTATTTAAATAGTTAGCACACTGGACTTCACACCCAGAGATCGCTGGTTCGATGTACCCATCGCGACAGCTCAAATAAATGGGCACATTTCTTAAAACCTCCCCGGCGTCTGTCCACTCGGCAGTACGAACGGGCACACGATGGTTAGTCGATCGGCAGGTCGTGTGTGGTGGGATAAAGTGTGGGTAACCCTCACCTCTTCCAAGACAGTCTGGCTAGTGTGGAAGAGTGAGATGAAAAATACCCATGAAAGGGGGAACGCCCTTCTGTCAGCAATGGAGCAAGCATGCAATTGCAGGGCTGCACCTTTAACCGTACCCAAGTGTAAACGTATGGGTAATTATAACAATAATCCAGGTGTAAAAAAAAACGGCCAGACCATCAAATCACGTACCTCGTTCGCCAGCATACTCATGGCCAAATTGGACTGTACACGCCGCAGTGAGACTTTGCGTTTTGCGCGAAAATATTTTGGTGGGGGCAAACCAAAGACGTGTTTGGTTTCATCAGAGAGCACCAGCAAGAGCGAACGGTGAGGTCAATTTCCATCAAGCGTCCTCTGTCCTCTGACACCATTCATTCATCAGGGGGACATCACTGTGGGAGCATTACCAAATTAAAAATCAACATCTGTCGGGCGACAACGTGCGTTCCCTTGAACCACGTGACCTCCAGTGAAAGGGTCAATTAATATTTTAACCCGGTGACATTCCACCCCCCCCCCCCACACTTTTTGTTATCATACCTCTGCCATGTAAATGTTGCAAGGCTTTTTGCTATACATGTGTGTGTGTGTGTGTATATATATTGCAGAGCGGTAGCATAGTGGTTAGCACATTGCGCTATGAACCCAGCGACCAGTTTAATGTCCGCTCCCCTAGGTCGACTCAGCCTCAAATGAGTACCTGGTGCGCTATGAGGGGGACAAAGGCAGCCGTGCCGGCCTTTATAGGTGCTCGCCAACAGCACTTGCCCCAACCAGTATGTTGAGGCTACATGGGAGATCTTTGTCTTTGTCATATATATATAAAAACATGAGCGTAAACATTATGGAGAGAAAATGACAGCTAAGAATTGTATTGGAGAACACGAGCTTTGTTTATCAGCTGGGGTATGCGAAGATGAATATTAACTGAACGCATTGTGTTTTAACGCTCCCATAAAAAGACAGCAGTTGTTCAATTACCTCACGCGGCAGGCAAAAAAATACCGCCACCAGCAAGCAAGTGATGAAGAAATGCACCATGGGGGCGGAGAAAGCCTGCTTCACCTTGGAACCAAAATTTCTCAACCACCCAACACCGTAGGCAGCCGAAAAAAAAAAAACATTTCGATTTAAAAGCTTTCGTGACTGCAGGGATTCATCTTCTTGGTTCTTTCGGTAAAGTCACGTAGAATGGAAGTAATAAAATAATACAAATTAAACATTATAAAATAATTCTCACAACGTTTCGGCCACAACGCAAGCAGCCGTCTTCAGGTGGAGAACAGATCTGTCGAGAAGGCAGAGTCTGAATTCAGACTCTGCCTTCTCGGCCACAACGCTACTTGCGTTGTGGCCGAAACGTCGTGAGAATTATTTAATTATGTTTTATTTTTATTATTTTATTATTTTCCTTCTACAGTCGAGGGCAGGTAGGCTTTTGTGAAGCCAGAAAAACAATGAGCGGGAGGTGCTACGTCCCGTGACCATGGGTCCGTCTGAGCCAATATGAACAAGCACACGGCACACAGCTAAATGGCGTGGGCTGTGACCTGCGCTCTGTAATGTTTTAACCTGCCAGAGGCGAGCGAAAGATTATTTCACATACCTGCCCTCCCACAAGCCGAGACCCGCCAGGCAAGTTAATGATCCACTGCTTTCATCGGTTAAAATCGACTCTGGCTGCGCTCACGACGACGCACGCATCGAATTGCGAGTGAGTGTAAGGAAATGTACTATTTTGGTTTTCGCGCAAAGTTAGTATACCGACAGGAATGGACGTGGTGGAATCTTCGAACCGATTTAGTAGAACGGAGACGGGGGAACGAATAAGACACCGAGCAGGGATGAGACAGAAGCCGGGCAGTACAGATGACACGGAAGGTTACGATAGATAGGACAACTGAGCCTATATGAACGATACACACTACAAATTAGAAACAGACCAGGCAAATGAAAAACTATCAACGAGGCAGATTATACAAATGAGGCAAAGAGCACGGTGGACGAGAGAAAGACAGCGCAAACAACGCGGTAGAAACGAGACCATCTCTTGATTTGGACCGTGACCCTGAAACGTGCTAGAGGGAAGGTCAGCTGAATCAAATCATGACCACACAATGACGATTCACCATCCCCCTCTTCCTCGGCAATACAATGAATGGTACACATATATACACACACGGCGAAGGGGGGTAAAGGTGAGAGCCAGGGCATAATGCTGCAGACAAAACACGCAGCTTTAAACAAATGCTCAACGCTTGTATAAACAGTGACTGTGTAGTGCCAACCCAGAGATTTTATTTCTGCTACAACTCCCCACCAACCCTTTAACAAGGTCGCGCTACAGGGTCGTAAAATTATAATAATTTACTTATTTATAGAGGAAGGTCACACAGAGTCGGAGGACTACTATTCAGGAGGGTCCTGCTGCTACATTGGGTTTTTATTTCCAAGATGTTTCAGCCAATTTATGATGAGTTGTATTCATTATACAAGTGGGAGGAAATCGAAGCACCTGCAGAAAATCGACGCACGCGGGGGGGGGGGGGGGGGGCGGGCGATGGTAACGATCTATCCCCATACAGACGGAACGAGATGTCGATTAGTCCACTTGCTGTAATGCCTTCTCCTGGGGTGCCAGGGTGTGGCACCTCCTCCACGCCCACGAAAAGAGTTCATGACATTACGTGCGGTGATCCACCAAGCCGCGCTGCCTCCGTCCGCAGTGCTGGACGACAGGCAGTCGCGTGCACCACCACCACTGCCCGGCTACGGCAGGCCGAGGGCGGTAGTTTAAATCCACAGAACAAGCAACCACTGTTGGCTATCCACTAAGTAGCACAGATTTTGTTGACTGCAGAGTGGTGATGGTATTGGGAGATGATGATGATGTTGAATTAAGCACCCCACACCCCTTTCCCGTCCCGAGATGTCTGCAAGTTGCAGGGTGGGTTCACCTCTGAATCTCGGAAGGCACAAGCAGTTCACGTAAACTTCATTGAGAGAAGCGTTTTTAAAGACATTGTACTCAACGCAGAGAACTGCAGCAACACGGCCATGATAGCTGGAGCTTTGGTACAAACATCTTCCAACCTGAAGGCGTACTGATAAAGTTATTTCATGTTAGTTTTTCTTCCGATTCAGTTCCGATGACATACATGTACAGAACGGAATCTGAAGAAAAACCCGATGTGTACGTACACCATCGTACACGTACGCCACCGGAATGGGAAAGGGTGAAATAGGGTCAATGCTAGAAGGGCTGAGTGGAGGCTACTGACTTGGAGAAGATCTTGGAGACGCTTTCCGAGTGGCAGTAGACCGTGTGGAAGAGCCAGGAGAAGCAGAGGCACAGGATGGCGCCCAGGAAGAACGTGCCAAAGACCACCTTCTCCTGGAGCGGTGCGATGAACGCGATGTTGGGCCTCAGCAGGTAGATGGTGCCCAGGATGAGGAACAGCAGGAAGCCTGCGATAATGACAAACAATAGCGAGGGGGGGGGGACGTGCACAGAAAATTATCAGCAACTCCTGAAGAATTGCCGATATTTTTTTGTTGTGATTTACAGATTTCATAACTAGCGGGGCAGCCTGCTACGTGGCCCAGCGGTGACGTCATTGCAGCCGTCTGTACAAGTTCTCAGTTCGAGCCCAGCGGCTGCCCTGGTTAACATGGCCAGAATAATTAACCATAAAATACACGCCGTCTGCATCGTGGTGAGCATTGTGAGATCTCCGACGCAATTCTACAAAGACTCGGCCAAGCGTGCCGGCGTCATGCTCCAAATTTACAAAATTTCACAAGTTACTCGCAAATTACTTAATTGGAAAATGGTGTGTAGCAACATTGCCCCGCCCCCTCCCACCGTACTGACAATTGCAGGCTGGTGTTGCTTTCACCTTGTGCCACACAGGGGTACATTGCCACTGGTATCCCCCCTTGCATAGGTTGCCACAGGGCGCCTCAATATTTATTGCACGGGAAAGTGTAGCACAAATATTAAGTGCTGAAGATACAAGGAGCATAATACTCGTTGGTTCGGGGATACAACTAGATTAAGCATCTGGTACCTAGTGTGCTCCATTCCCATGCCGTTTGAAATAGAATGTAGGGCCAGTTTCGGTTATTTGGCCATTTTTCATTTTAAGCATTCGCAGCGCCACCTCCGAGAGGATTTTTCACACCTAAGCACCACCTCCCAGCAGTAACTGTAATGGATTGCCGGAGCGTTACTAAATTATCAAACAACAATGATCCAACCAACTTTTACAACAACACAACTTGAGCCACCTTTTACGACAAACACGAGCGAATTGGACGCCCGAGCCCATCAGCAATATCACCACCGTCCTCTCTTGAGCCACCCCCAACATGTACGCTCAATCATCAGGAACACAAATATGTATCACTTGTTTGCCCACGCAATTGCGATTCATTACGCTTGCGGCGGGAGGTACAACTTTAGTAATTGCGGAAAGTTAGGCCCAGCTGGCCTTTACAAAGGTGGTAAAGGTGCAAAACTGCAGTGACTTCTTGCTCACGCCACTGCTGGCAGAAGGGCCTACATTAGAGGTTATTTGGCCTACTCTTCCACGCTTTGCACCACCGCACGCAACTTGTCGATCGTCTGTGTACCCCATTCATACTGCTGGGTGGACAGAGGAAAAGGGGGGGGGGGGCACGGGAATTTAAGAAACTTGTCCAAATTCTCAATTGCTGTGCAGTAAGATTGAATCGAACCGGTGACCTCTGGGTTGTAAGTTCAGCGTGCTAACGATTAGCTTCGGCAGCATGATTGTTTTCGTTAACACGCCATGAAACTTGAGCCGATGCCAGTTTTCAAATGTGTTTATCTCAACTATGACACAGTCACACGCTGTTCTGCCTAAAGCGGAGGGGTGGGCATTGGTAATTGTGCACAGAGATTTAGCAGCTGGGAGTTATCAAGCCGTTGTCCACTCTGGCCCAGTGGCATGTGTGTCGACCAGCTACCCAACTCACCCTAGAACCTTCAACTGCCTCAGAGGTCATGCACATTAAACTATCAGCTGACAGTGCCACGATGCCATCGTTTACATGTTTGCACATACGGAGTGTGCTTCGTAGTTATCTTATTGCCTCTGGCTGTAAGAGAAAAGCCATTTTTCTGTCTTGTGTAAAGCAATGTTTTGTTAAGCAAAGACTTAATAAAGTCTCTGCGTATGCAAACAAATCCTGAACATGTATATTGATTCTGCTATACAACCCGAATTATCTTTAAATTACAGTACAGTTAACAATTGATGTCCATGGTTAAATTAGCCAAAATGTGCCCATCTCGGAAGCTAGACCAATTGGGCCTGGATAATGAATGGTTTATAAATTCGCTTGTTGAACCAAGAAAGCCTCACCAAGTCTCAAGGCTTGTTTTCAGCAGGGTTCTGCCAAGTTCCCAGGAGGAGGGCGACTTTGCTTTGTGTAATCCCCATTGAGTAACTTTCTGGGTAATTTGTCAGCATTTGGAATGTCTTGGCAATATCAGCAACCAGCATAAACGAGTGACCACAATGCACAGGGTTCGGCAACAAGCGGCACCGGAGCCACACGCGATTCTTTACGGTCTGCTTCATGACGTTATTCACATGCATCGCGGCTCTTGAATTGTAGATTTGTTGACCGAATTCGCAAAAAATTGGCTCATCCTGTTATTCTGGTTGCCGACCCGTGACTGTTAATAAAACCGACAGTGTAGGCTGTTGCGTGGCTACATATTCAGCGGACAAGTGCATAAACAACCTACTTGCTGTACTGCATCACGCAGGCAGCTTGTATTGCAGGTGTCCGCCTACAACGTACATGTCAAGTCTCAAGGATTCCCCTTAACACTCACGGTTTTCACGATTTTGAGAGTGTCTTACAGTCGTGCAATGGATTTTCACGTTTTTTGCTGTTTACCTGAAAATAATACAATCAGTACCGTTCATTGCAGTATCTTACCGGCAGCTGCCGATGGGTCCGGTTTCATGTATGGGTCAGCTGGAAAAGTGTTGTCTTTACTCACAGTCCTTCTATGAGAAATAAGTGGGAACCAATACAACTATCCCAGGCCATTATTATTTAACGTACTATAGGGGGTGGTCATTTAATTTACTAAGGGGTGCCACGGTGGTGAGATGTTAACGAGCTCGCTTGGTATACGGGTCGTGGGTTCGATCCTGACCCTGATGCCTGCATATTTGGAGTTTGAATTTTCTCCCCGTGCTCATGTGGATTTTTCGCCAGGTAACAGGTGTTGTGAATATTTGGCTGCAAATTTTTTTACACGATAAACCACATAGTTGAGCTATCACTTTTGGCGAGGTCGCTTCTGAAAATGAGGTATGTAGCTTATTGGAATTTAGCTGGGAAAATAAAAATAGTTTGGTTTATATTCGCCTCCTACTGCTGTTACGCAAACTCATTTCGCAAACATCCCGCCCGTGTTACGTAACAGTAGACTCTCCCCTGCCTGCGTGAAAATTTAATGTTTCTGTGCCTCAGTTCCTCTTAGTTTCTTGGGTTTTCCCCACAAGGTTTTTCAGTTAGAGGGGTCTCACTATGGGACCCTAAGGGGCCGACGTGCACGCTACAAACATCGCCTCCAAGTAGCCGTCTTGCTGGCATGCGTCGCCACACCATTCGAAAAATATCACGGACGTAGACCATTCACTGATGAAGCTCTATTTACGCTCAACAATACATAAATTGTACTGCGAATGTAAGACTCTATCTGTTTTGACCGTAGTTCAACACTTTGGAAGCAAGAGTTTGCTGGGCCGCATTTATTCGTGGAAGTTCCAAACCGGTTGAGTTGCGATGCGGGGTTTCTCCCGGTTACACCTCTCAAAACAATGATGCCAATGATGGCATGGCCTGGGGTAGATTGACAAAGGGCTGTGCACAATGATTGCTGCCCTCCGTAATTCACATCGTTGTCATGATTTTGACTCACGATTCAAAATCACAAATCAATTATATATTTTCCCTTGTGGTGCATAGTGGTATGAATTTAAAAAACCTATAGTTGCAGGAATCTTCAAAATGTAGAGTAATAAAACCTACACAATAAATGTAGTTATTTATTTTGGAAAGCCTCACCGAGTCTCAAGATAATTTTCAGGAGTGTCATGTTTTGCACATCGCATACTTCATCAAGTTGGTCACTGCCAGTTGGTGAAGGGAGAGGGAAGCCCAGGAATGGCACAGACATCACTTGCCACTGACATCAGCGAGAACCGGGAATAAAACTCTGGTCACTGGGTTTGTTGTGCCACTGCTCCTCCTCCTCCTCCTCGTGTACATGTATAGAGGGTTGTAACGATATACCCACCCCACCACCATCTCCCCTGCATCCCGGAAAGTTGATGAACTGCAGTGAATGTAGCAGCCACTTGAAGCCAAGAGGTCACATTAATTCATTGGCCACTGATGTTAACCATGGCCACGAATTAAATTCAGGTGGCCGGGACATAGTGCAGTACGCTAACCACACATTCATCATCATCAGCATCTAATATTTATAATGTTTCTCAGCCAGTACATCGAGGCGCCAGAGGATACGAGTATTTGAGGTAATTACTCAGTAAGGAAATAATTTCAGAGCAAATGCAAGGTTAAAATGAAACACAGTAGAAGCGTTTCACAACCTGTGGTCCATGGACCACTGTGGGGGGGATCTCTGTCTGCGGGAAGTGGCCTGCGAAACTGTTGCAGTTACCAATTATTTTCACAAAACACCAGATATTTTTCCTTTTCTGACTGCACGGCAGTCCACGATAATTATTGGAGAGCTGACATCGGCTCCCGAGGGGCCAAAATAGGTTGTGAATCACCTACATAAGAGAATACACAACAAGTGAGCGAATCAATCATTGCATCCATAAAAAATATCATCATCACGATCCATGGGCAGATAAGCCTGTAGAGGTGTTCACTGCACATTTTCGTCATTTGTCTCCACTTTCCTCTGTCTTGTGCCAATGTGCTCAAGTAGTGGCCACATCTTTCTGGCACCAATCTGTTACGCCGTCGGTCAAGCCATTCTCCGATAGGTCTCCCTCTCGTTCCAGTTCTTTCCATTTTCACGAATAACACTTTAATGTTTCGGTTGTCAGTCCGACATGTGTCCACAAATAGTGTCAGTGTCCTTCTCATCACTGCCTGCATCAGGTCGTCTTCTACGCGCAACCTTTTCTAACTTTAACGTTGGTCCTTCTTTGGGTCCAGCTTATATGGCAGAATCCTCTCTAGCAACACATTTCGAAAGCCAATAACTTATCTCGGTCAGCTAAGATAAACATAGCGCACAGTAAACATAGTTGAAACAATTTCAATCGTAGCGTCACAAGTCCCCCTTTAGGCAGAGGTAAATCGGGGGAAGGGCAGGGGGGCAGGGCATCGCGCCACCGTCAGCTGACCGATGAGGTGCGTCCAGATGTTGCCGGTCTCCGTGTGGATGCGGAAGATGCTCCTGAAGCACGCGCGGAACGACGGCATCGGCGGGCGGTGGCCGTGCAGCAAGTAGTCGTTGTCCTTGAGCCAATCGGGGAGAAGGTCGTGCGAAAGGACGGGCCACCTCCCCTCCCACACCTACGGGGAGGGACACGTCAATTCCCGCGTGTGCCCCTAAGCGTTCCCCTTCCATTAGCGACGACGGAATTAAAATGCAAATGAGGGTGGCATAATAAGTGTGCTCAACAATTTGGCGATTTTTTTATTTTAGACGGGTTTCCGTCTGTCCACCCCTAGTTGAAAATGGGCCGATGGTCTTCATATTTTCGTACATCTCGATTTTAAGGGCATATGACTTTTTTTTGTCTCTCCGTTTACTGCGAAACGTTTTTCTAAAATATTACTGCCATTTACCTTCAAAGCTTAACATGATATTTATGCAAACCTAGCTCACATTTGTATCAAAGTATAAGAATGAACGAATAATTATAATTATTACATCAATCCACTGCCATACTTCTTCAACCAGGATAGCAACGCAGTGTGCTAACCACTTCACCACTGCTCCAACCAAAGAATTAACTCGGCAGATTTAAAAACCACAAGAGAGCAAACTGTATTCTCATTTGTTAAGAGCAATTATGTTCCTGGACAACGTATACGTCAGACGTTTCTATATAACCGTATATAAATCTTGTAATGACCACACAGGGTGTCAAAGCCCTTGAGAGTGCAGCTGCCACCTGTAATGATGGCAACGCTATCAGTTCCCTCGTGGCCTGACATGAGCATTAACATTTCAGCAACACATGAAACGCCATCCCAAAACGTGTGCGCTCGCAAGACTATGGGAAGGCAGAATCGCACAGCACAACGGTAAATCCAGTACACCGGTGGAAAAATTAAGCCGTAAAAACAAAGTTTTTCACTATAAATCCTTTATATGCGTGGCGGCTAGAGTCCTCTCGTCCTCTGGCTTGAGATGGTTGCCACCTATGGGTCAGATGATTGCCTGCCACCATTAAGCAATTGGTAAATATAAAAAAAAAATTCCTAAAATGTTGAAAATATTGGAAAAAAATTTTCACGAAAATAAATTGCCACGCACAACGAGTCTGTGTGCAAAATGTCAGCTCGTTGGATCACGGGAAGTGGGTTAAAAAACGACCGAAAGATTTGCACGGTCGTAAGCGCGCAAGCAAGCAAGCAAGTGAACTTAATATAAAGGATTTAAAAAACAAAACACTGTGTACAAAGAAACATTTTTTGAGTAAATTTCAACTCGACTTTTTTTTTTTACACACCACAAATGTCCTCTCCAAGTGTCACGACGAAGAAACTTCCACTTCATCCAGAATTCTAGCAACATGCACAGTATTGAACTGCTGTCCGAGAACAGTGCTGAACTACTTCTCAAGTCCCTTCAAGACGCCTCTTATGCCCAATAGAAGTGCACTTCAATTCTCAATTTAGAATCCTCAGAGCTGCAGTGTACAGAATTATGTTTTAAATAGAAACTAAAATTGTGCAATTATTGGTAACCGAGCGCAACCCATCAACTCGCTCACTTGAGAAACCAGTTTATATTCACAGGCGGCTGAAACCAGGATTTTAATCCAGGATCTCAGGAGCGCCGATTTAACGCTCTCCGGCACCACATTGGCACCCTGATATAACCTTAGCCGAGCCACGTAAAAAAAAACACGAGCCGACTTAAAACCCCATGTAATCTTTTACCCCCAAACGCTTTCAAAAGGTGATTGACGGACGTTTTCAATCCAATGGGTTTAGGACATATGACTTCACGACAGGCTTGTTATACGCCACGCTGACTTGGCTCATCTTTTTCACAGGATGCTATGGTGAGGATATATGTTGTGATGTCGGCGTTGGTTTTCACCACCGCTCTTCTCAATGCTAACCGGAGACGGCCTGTCAAGCGATGAAACCCTGCCTTCCCACATTCATCATGAATGAAAGAGACAATGTGCCACGAGTGCATGTAATAAACATTAACAATAAAAAACATGTTTCGATTTAAAGCTTTCGTGACTGCAGGGATTCATCTTCTTGGTTCTTTCGGTAAAGTCACGTAGAAGGGAAGTAATAAAATAATAAATTGTTTTATTATGTTTTATTTTTATTATTTTATTACTTCCCTTCTACGTGACTTTACCGAAAGAACCAAGAAGAAAAAACATGTTACTTATTCACTGTGCTCATAATCCAAAGTTCGCCGGTTCTATTTCCCCAGGTGGGAGTTGAAACATCGAGTAGGTTTCTTAAATCCAGGCGCTTCTATCCACCCAACATTGTAACCAGGTACACCAGTTAGTCGATTGGCAGGTGGCAGGTGGAATGTGGTGTGATAGAATGTGGGTACTATTACCACTTCCTAGAGGTCTGCGTTGCACGGAAGAGAAGGCCAAATCGCCTTGAGATGAGCACTCTAGAAATCCCCCCAAGTGGAGAGACTCCTTCCGCCAGTAGAGTTGTAAAAAAGTAATTTGCAGGGCTACACATTTAGCATGATGCGAATGTCGGAAAAACAATCATTGTGAGAGGAGGAAAGAAACCGCTACCAATAAACAAGCACGAATTGACGCATCATTTCATCAATTAAAATCAATTACGAATCCCGAACGATCTTGAAACACCCATCATTTTATGAACGTGAGAAATTAATCTCGATGCCCCTCCAACACTCTCCCTGCTCCAGAAAGCAAGGCATCCTGTCCGAGCCGCCAGCCAACCTTCACTCAGTGGGGACATCGCTTACGTATGTTCCTGCGCTGCCATCATGATCCGGAACTCCCTTCCCATGCTCTGAACTGCCCGCCTGAGTCTAAGCTCGAGACGTTTATTTTTCCCTCTCCCTATGACGGACTTCTTCTTTCAACACAATAATAATAATAATGCCCACCCTTTTCTGTGCAGCGTCTAGGGCTATCGTAAGCGACCAAATTGTACAAATAAAGCAAACAAATTAGAAACAATATAATCGATGCGGTAAAAATTTGACCAAAATAATAAATCGTTGGATTGAATCGCAATCCAGAATTGTGGCAATTCATCAAATCTCTTGCCGGTTGAAAGGAGTGCATCTTTTACACATGCCTAATAATAAATCATCCCCTTTCAGGAATAAAACAGGAACAAAATTACATTACAACCGACAATACTCTTTTTGCTTTCATGACAGATAAAACGGTAATTTATTTCGTAAAAAAAAAAAAACCCATACTGTCGGATGAGGAATGGGTTAACTCCGCTAGCCGAGGGACCATCAAAAGCAGGCGGCTCTGCAATTACTTTTCCACGAATTATCTCCTTTCCGCTTATCACGCTTCCTCGCTCAACTGCTCCGCCGCTACACCGGCGAATGTACAGCGGGCGAATGTACAGCGGGCGAATGCTAAATTATATTTTTCTCCGCGTCAGCGCTATTACCCTCGTGGGGGGGGGGGGGGGGGGGGAGGAAAAAAAAGCGTTTGCCCGGCAGAAGCGCGGATCCGTCGGGAACGCAGAGAAAGGGCTCAACCGAAAAATGACAGGAAAATATTTTCCGATTAGCTACGCAATAACACAGGCACCGCAAATTCGCTTTGTCTGAAGCACAGCTGTACAAACTATAAAACTATATTATGTTTTACCAGGTAAGGCCCACTGAGCCATTTCGCTCTTTTTCATAATCGACCTGGCCATCACAAATGATAGCAACGAAGCGGCTTATTGCGTGGACATTTATAGCAGCCAAATACTTTGAATGCATGCTGATTCTAAATGCGGAGGGAGAAAACTGGAGGACCCGGAGAAAAATCTATGCCACCACAGGGAAAACATGCAACTCCAAGTATACCGGGATTGAATCCATGACCTCATGTATACCAGGTGAGGTAGTTAACATCTCACCACCGCGGCACCCTACAGCGCGCCTATGTGCCGATATCAGCAAACGACATTCATGCTTGGGCAATTTAATTAATGATTGGGCCTCCGATGCCATTTTGTGGGCAAGAAGCAAAAACAACACACTGTGGATGTATAAAGGGCCTTAACTAAAATACCACCGTGTCTCAAGCTGCCGTACAAGCAAGCTGAAAGATGCACACGGCGCATCTTGAAAGTAACTTGGTGAAAGGGAAGGCTTTTGCTTTCAAAGTGAATTTGGAACAGATGGGAGTCAAGGTTATTTTGGAGGTGACAGGGCATAGAGGTAAAAGTAGACAGCAGTGTGACGGTAGGTGTAAATGCAGTGCATATTGAGTACATCCACAGCACATCGAAAATAATTGTCGAAAAAGGTAGGGTTCTTTCTTGCCTTCTTGTTTTTAGAGAGGATGGAGGAATGGTTAGGGGGCTCCGGGGCAGAGAGACACAAACTAGACAACAGAATATTAAAGATAAAAATTCATTTCACAGCCGATACAGGCATAGGCAGTGATAACAAAGTGCAGAAGCGTGAATTTGAGTTCGTGGGGCAAACGAAAAGGGGGGGGGGGGGGGGGGGGGGGGAAGGGAATACCAGACCACATGGGCAGCAGCAGCAGCAGCAGAAAATCAACGATTGGCCATTGAGCGGAGGCCGAGTGACGGACAGGTAATCGCAACGCGTTCGACTTCGCGCAGCGCGGCACGCAATCTACCTTGCACACAAACTCCTCCACCCTCTCCATCGCCTGGTGCGCCTGCTGAGGGATGTGGATCAGACGAAGGATGTTGTCTCGTTTGTCCTCCACCTCCTCCACCACCTCTTCCTCCTCCTCGCTCTCTTTCGAGGAGATGGTGGCGGCCTGCAAAATGAAGGTCACCAGAGTAAAAAAAAAAAAAACACCGTGCCGTGTCCCGAGAAAGCAGGCACACATACAGAAAATACAAACAAAACCATACATCTATTGTCTAGCGTTACAGACTCTCAGGAAGAGTGCTGTTAGCGAGCACCTATTAAGGCCTGAACGGCACTTCAGACGATGGTGTGACCAGTGCCACGTCTAGCTGCATTGGTATCTCCAGTGCTGGTGCTTTGATACTGCATTAGGTGCTCATTTAAGGCTGAGTCGACATAGGTGAGGCCTAGGATCAGTTCTGATATCACTCGCTAATGACATTAGCTGTTGACAGGAATAGAACTTGGGTGGTTGGGTTCGTAACGCAGTGCGTTCGGTAACCGCTCCAAAGACAAAGATCCCCCGGGTGGCTTTACCAGACTATCGGGGCAAGTGCTGTAAGCAAGCACCTATGAAGGACGGTACAACACACGAGGGGGTGAGGGGCCAGCATCACGCCCAACCACCTTTGTTTCCATAGTGGCATTGTTTACACTCTGCACCAGGTACTCATTTGTGGCTTAGTCGACCTAGGGAAGGTCCTGGACCAGCTTAGATAATCGTCACTGGTGTTGGCCGTGAGCGGGAATAGAACTCAGGTCGCCAGGTTCATAGCACAGCAGGCTAACCCATACACCACCGCTCCCCACACTACCACGACACCACCACACATATGTGCACACAAATACAAAAGACAATCAAAGAACATGTTTCATTCAGCCCTTAGAGACTGTTGAGACTTTGAGGGATGAGTTGAGTAACATGCTCAGAGCAATCGGCCAATGACAACTTAAACTCGTGGGAAGCACGTTGACATTTAATCGTGCCAGGTTTATACCCATGCATTGTATGATTTTGAAGCAAGAGCTGTATCACGTGCTTGGGCTATTGTAAACAGTGGAGCAGAGCGCACCGGGGCTGATTACCAAATCATCGAGTGGAAGTTTAAATGTTTTTGTATGTATGTTGAACATCTTTCGCATTATATGTAGCCAACTGTGCCAATCGGAGAAACGGTATGTATGTTGAACATACATATGTTGAACATACATACCACATACATACCACACCTTTGTATCTTTGACCTTGCTTGTATGAACTACAAATCGCACATAAGCTTTTAAATGACTCCATATTCAACGAGTGGTCTCGGATGAGTTCTCCGGACATACAAATACATTAGCTTACTATTATACAGTTAATTGCCATTACATTGCCCGAGTACAATGAACCAATACCAACCACTGCAGCTGCTGGGTGTGGTACTTGCAACCGTTAATGGGTTTTCATTTCCCTATCCTGATGGTAACTAGATATAACTAGAGAACAAGAGGATCGCATAGACACAAACACATTATCATATTCTACTTGCGAGGGGCTTTAATGGCATCAGTTACGACCCAACGGGCTCTCTCTCTCGCTAGCTCAGCACATGAGAATTAACCCCCGAGGAAAGGTTCAACGAGAAACGATGTAAATTTGGCAAGTGAATACATTTGGCAAGTGAATTAGAATTGCAATGCGTATTTATATAATGCGCTGTACAACAGTGGGGCGTATTTACTTCACAAAGCCATCGATTTTGTGAGCAATGGACTATTTTTATTCATTTCCGTTGTTTGCTCTGTTCATCTCAAACCTTGAATGTGGATTACTTTGCAATGCACACACACACACACAGAGAAAGCTGCGCACCTTCAAAACGCTAGCTGCGTTTTTAAACCAACGCAACTGCTGTAGGCGGAGAACGGCACTCTCGTTTCACCTATCAAAAGCTGAAGAATGTCGTTGGCAGGTTTTGGTTTGGCCATGCAAGTTTATTTTGGATAGAGCCGGGTCGCTGAACTGTAATGCAATGCAGCCATTGCAACCACGCAGCCTGAGCCAGTTTATCTGGCACGCTGCCAGGATTTTATCTTGCCTGACCTTTACTCGTACTTTATTTTTAAATGACGGTATCCAGCTGAAAAAAATATCACACCACGTGCACAGAGAGAGTTCCCGTCAGGACTACGGGGAGATTCCGGTAGCATTGTCTCGGCGATCGACAGCGTCCCGCGCGACCCGGTCGCAAGCACGGACTCGGGCGCTCGCAGACAATGCACCCGGGCCCCCGCGCGGCTTGAAATGTGTTGTCCAAATGAACCGGCCCAATCCGATCCTAGCATTCCCAGTTTACATTGCGAGATATCGTCAAACACATCTTTCCCTAAGCTTCTTCTAATTTCCTACGGATTGCGTATTCAAGCGGCCATCCCCGATAAATGCTGAGTAAAGAAATAAAAATCTATTAAAAAAATGGTGAATTCCGTGGGATAACAGGTATTATCGTCTGTGGGGCTATGTAGCGGGCATCAGAGAGCATTGCAATAAAGTCCATTGTAGTACTGGGCTTCTATGCTCCCAAGTCTATGCTCCCCGCGTTTACCAAACCGCACTGACCAGCATGGTAAGTATGGTCAAACATCCCTCATAAAGCATATGGCGTGGGGAGGCTATCATCCCGCAGTGGGTTGACAAGAGAGCTGTAAGTGAATGTATTTAAAGTTCCTAATTGCCACCGCATCTCAAGGCACTGTACTGGAGCGTGCTTTTGACAGCAGTCCTCGATGAGACTTGGAAGTGTTTCCTCGCCCGTTAATGACGCTTTCAGACTCAAGTCAGGCGGACAGCCTGGGGACACACAGCCTGGGCGTGCATCTACAATACGAGAGCAAAGCAGAGCGACACATCAAAATAAAGACGATTCTATTTCGATTTAAAGCTTTCGTGACTGCAGGGATTCATCTTCTTGGTTCTTTCGGTAAAGTCATCACGTAGAAGGGAATTAATAAAATAATAAAAATAAAACATAATAAAAAAATTCTCACGACGTTTCGGCCACAATGCAAGCAGCCGTCCTCAGGTGAAGAACAGGTCTGTCGAGGCATGTGTGCTGTTTCATTCAGACGCTGTCGCCTCAACAGACCTGGTTTTCACCTGAGGATGGCTGCTTGCGTTGTGGCCGAAACGTCATGAGAATTATTTTATTATGTTTTATTTTTATTACTTCCCTTCTACGTGACTTTACCGAAAGAACCAAGAAGAAAAAAGACAATTCTCTTATGCTCAAAACGCGCTCATCAAACACTAAAATGCAAGAATCGATATTTTCTGTCTGTATACTTTTGCATGTGACAGAACAGGTTCAAATAAAACCCGCAGAATCTGCCTGCACTGCAATGGCAAACAAAAAATAAATTGCAGATGCAATTGGAATTCCGAATCGTGACATTTCATAGAATTGCAAGGGGAAGGCAGAATTATTACCTGGTATTTCGGGTGTCTTGCTTTCACTAGATATATACGTTTGCAATCCTGAGAGCCTAGAAACCAAACTTGTAATTGAGCGGTAACCTGGCATGGCTGTTACCACAGACAACCCGGAATGCACCCAGTGTGATCACATCTTGAAGGCCAAGCAAAGTTTGAGCTTGGTTCAGCACTTGGGATTGTGGAGCGCTTGGGATTGTGCAGCACTTTCCAGGTGCTGGAGGTTTGGGGCCGCGAGATGTGGAGTGGAAATTAAAGAACGAGGTCTCAGCCTCCCCCCCTCGCGTGTGAATGGTGAGCTTAATCCTGGTTCTCCAGTTTCCTCCCAAGTGAAGCCAAACCTCTTGATAATGGAAATGGACAAACCATCCCAATGTAGCAGGACCCTGGTACTGCGCCCGTTTTCGCGGTTGCGTTGGAATAGATCTCGGAAGCAGCTCCCAGAACGTGGAGCGAAATGTCGGCCATGCCAAGAAAGATGCGGTACAACACGCAAAAAATGTCGGAGATCTGTCGCAGGATTAATGAAAAAAATTTTACTCTTGAGACTCAGCGAGGATTTCCTTGGTAAGCAAGTGGATGTTGTCGCTTTTTTCTTTTTTCAACTAGTAAAAACAAGGAGTTAAAATCCAACACTTTCCAAAAATGATGAGAAAACCCATCACGACGGGAATATGCTTGCAGGATGGAATCAAGGTGATTTAACAACACACAAAAAGTGTTCCCATAATAATGACAAGTGCACTCCGTGCATGTATGTTATTTTTTTTACAGTTATGTTTGAGTATATTCTGTCCCCCTCCCTCTCCCCCCCTGAAAAATACCGCAGCAAAATTGCCCTTCCCTCCCGGGGTCTTGTTCAATAAAAAAACATATAAAAAACACACACAACACACAAAAGCGTGCTTGAGTTGGTGGCCCCAAACAATAACACGGCCACACGTTCAGCTCTATCGAGCTGGTGTGCCGACACAAGACTGACAGCGTTGCACGTGCAATGTGGGCGATCACATGACGTGCACACAAGGCATCACAGGAGCCGGCACCTCTCTGCCGTTTGGGAACCGGCGCGCGCCTTCCCGTGCTGTTAAATCCACCGCACGCGAGTGCTACGAGTGCTACAAGGGCGAAATTCGCAAGGAGACAAGATGATGATCACGCCGCCGACCCTGCGATGTCACACCAGCGGCAATTTGGGCGCTCGCGTGAAACTGTCCCCAGTGTGCAGTCTCCAGTGCACGACAAAAAAAAACCACGTGACACTGAAAATAAATGAATAACCTAGACACAAAAAAACCAACAACAACCTCCTTATATATCCGCCTTCATCCAGATGCAATGTTCACAATACAAGCATGTAGGTTTTTTAAGTGAAATGGTAATTAGTGCCCTTGTTATGTAAGCCTATTAAAAAGGCAGCGATTTAAACCCTTTCAGGCTGAGTACAGTGAACGAGAGAAGGGCGGTCCTCCTTCTTGAGTTGCCTTTTTCTCATGCCGCAGGCTACGAGCAGATTAAGAAAATGTATTTATACTGGAAAATCCGATGAGCTACAAAGCTATTTGTCAGAAACGTCTGAGAGGAGCTGGAAATAATGTTAAACAAACAACAAACAATACAGAAATAAGATAGGAGTCTAAAGTACAAGAAAGGTA